TGCCCTTTTACTATGAAATGAAATGCAGATATTATATCTCTCCTTGTTTGAGGCTAACTTCACGAATATTTGAGCCATGAACATTCCTAGTTTTTGTTTGAACACTGGAACACATTCCAGTTTTTGTTTGGATATATACCCAGGAGTGAAATTGCTGGGTCATATGTTAACTATATGTTTAATTTTTAGAGGAAACACAAAACTGTTTCACTCAGCGATATTTCATCGGACAAGTGACATGACATAATTTATGATTTTAAAAATTATTCTTATAGCTTTGAGGAAAATAGATCATGGTAAAAGCAAGCAAACAATTTAGCTCTTAATTACAATAATCCAAGTGAAAGGTGATTATGCCTTGCACCAGAGCATAAGCAAAGGAGAATAGTGGGAAATGGTTTCATTTTTTATAATAGGAAAGAGCTGATGTGATTTGTTGATGGTTTGAATATGGAGGGGGAAAAGGTTGCAAGCATGACTTTAAAGTTTCTGGCTTGAGAAATTGGAAGGTTGAGGTGTCCAATTACTGATAAAGGGGAAACTGTGAATTACAAAGTTTAGGATACAAAACCAAAGGTTTATTCTTATATATGTTAAATTAGTGATATTTATTCAACATCAGTATCAAATATCTATTATTATGCCACAAACCACTACAACACTTAATAGTTTATTTGGTTATGAATCTCTTGTCAGCAATTTAAGCTGAACTCAGCTGGGTATTTCTGCTGGCCTCAGCCAGGGTCACTCACCTGGCTGCAATAGGCTGGTAGATTAATTGGTTGATCTAGGAGACCTCTTCTGCATATGGCTTTGCCTATTTACGTATATTTTAATAAGGAAATCTCAGAGCAACAAAGGAGAAAAAGCATAGAACCTAAAAAATCCAAGGTCTTTTGAGCCTTTTGCTTGCAATTCTCATAGTGTTCCTTTCTCTGCATATCATTGGTTAAAGAGAAGTCAGGTCACAAATTCAGCCCAGATTCAATAAGGTAAAGTATTACATTTATCCTCTTGATGAGACCATCAGATGATGCCATATTACAAAGAAGGATGCAAAGGTGAGAGGATTTGGTAGCTTTTTTTTAACTTAAAAAAAAGTTTATAATCTACCACACCATCAAAGTGGAGATACTGAGAACATACTGTACTTGGTTGGTTTGATGCGCCTGAAGTATAGGAGAAAAGACTGGATGGAGGAGCAAATGTAGATTGAAGAAGAGAATCCTTCCAGAGATAGAGTCCTGGTGTTAACCAAAATTTAAAAAACATTTAAATAAGGAAGAAACCGAAAGATGATTTAGATGGATCTATTAGTAAGATAGGAGGAAACCAAGAGAGAGTTGTGTCCAATAAGTTAAATTTAGTGTTGAAAAATGCACCCAAAATGACTGCATTTGTTTCTTTCTGACAGTTAAGTCTCTTTGAAGTTATCTGACCAGTTTGTAATGATGACTGCTTTCTCTGTAGCCCTAGGCTAAGACAGGGGCAGTAGTTTGTTTGAATACCAAAATTCTTCCCGTATTAAGCTCATTAAAAGATCTAAACTTCCGTTAGTATCCAGGGAAACTAGGCCAGAAATTCTCTGCAATGCTAATGGGAGCTATGAATTTGAATTTTCATTAAAGTAATAAGGCCATGTGTTTTAAACACTAGTAACATTCTGCGGTTAGGGCAATTGAAAGGCATTCATTTTAAAAACATGTTAAAATGCTTAATATTTATTAAGTGTCGTCCTATACATAAGATGGTTCTAGGTCCGCACAATTAAGCAAAATTAAATGAAGCACCTGATCTTCTTTTTCAAAGAGTTCTCCATTCAAATAAGACAACATAGATAATAAATGTTATAAAATGCTAATGGGAAAAGAAGAGTGCTCATGTTCACACGCACCCCCCTCACATGCACGTATATGCACATGAGCATGGGAAGACATGCTGAACAATGGAATACAAAATAAAAGGCATGCAAAAGAAAGGAGCAAGTATCAGGAAGTCAGAACCAATTTCCTACCAACGAGTATCTCCATTAATAAATCTCTTAGGCCAGTAAAGGCCCCAGCTGCCATTTATGGTTTTTATAATGTGCCAAGCAGCATCATCCTAAATACACCCAAATATTATTTCACCTAGATTTCACGGAAACCAATAAGGTAGGAGATATTTTTGCACCTATACCACATTCAGTTAGCACATCTATTTTTAATACAGATTGCCAGCCCCTCCTGACACAAGTGTGCTGTGGGGTCTCTCTCCTTTCTTACTATCCTTGAAGCCTTAGAAGGTCACACAGTCTACATGTAGATGCAGATTGGGAGCACTCCTCAAACAAGAGAAGGGGGTCAGTGAACAAGTGCCTCATCTTTCCTTTCTTCAGATATATCATTCTGAGATGTGTTCCATGAGGTCCTGGCCCAAGCTGTGTGGTTTGACTTTTAGTTGTCCACCACAGAAACTAACTCAGAAAACGCACCTTCTGCTGCTTTTTTTTCTTTCACTGTTTCATTTTCTTCCTGACTTTGTTTTCTGTGATTATTTGTCCCTTAAACTATCTGTACCCAAACCCGTGTTTCGGGGTTCTTCATGGAGAACCCTGAAAAGTTCATCTACATTCCTTATGGAACCCTGAAACATGGGTTTGGGTACAGATAGTTTAAGGGACAAGTAATCACAGAAAACAAAGTCAGGAAGAAAATGAAACAGTGAAACAAGGCAGAAACAAATTGTTCCATACATTAAAAGATTAAAATTGCCATTATAAACATTTAAGAGCATAACAAAATCACCTACAGAAATGATGAAAATCCATATTGGGCCCAGATCCAGCATTAAATGATAGCAAATCTCTCAACATGAAATTTTTCATCATTTAATTGTTATAAATAAATAAAATGCATATAAAGCCAACCATCACATTCTATGATTTTAATTTGTAACTTCTTATGATTAAAGAAGGAAAGAAATACTTTCTTATAAGATCATAACACCCAGGACGCTGAATATTATGGGGCAGAAAAGTTCTCACATTTCCCTATAATTTACTAAATGAATATCTTCATATTTTATTTTGACTTTTATTTCAAGAGATGATGCATTCAAAGACCCTATTTTTAAGATTTGTAAAGAACATTATTCTCTGACTCTTGGTTAAAGCCCTTCCTATCAGATTTAAGAGGACTTAGAATGACAAGCATAGCCTACCTTAGTATAGTTTCTTACTGTTTAGAGAGTTTACACATGTTACTTCATTTAACTGTGCTCCCAACCTATGAGCTACATGGGGTCATTTTACAAAGGAGGAAACTCAATTGCAGTAATTGAGTCTTGCCCACACAGATGTGCTTACCAAGTGTAAAGCCAGATAGCGAATCCAGGCCTTCTGTAAACACAGGACTGGCCTGTGCCTGTTTCAGCACAGTCCTTCATGAAGTCTTTGACTACAGCCTATATTGAGGAAAGCAGTGAAGAATGAAGGCTCTGACTGGGCCATGTGGAAAGATAATTTAACTGGGTTTACAGATAGCTGCTTCCCATGAATTATCATCCTTTTTTCCAAAGAGTGCTTAGATGCAAAGAGAAGATTAATCCTCATGGAAGTTACAGGAAAGGAAAGTATTGCTGTAACATCACATTCTCAAACTGTAGACTTTGACAGGAATAGGCAATTACTCAGTTCCTCCACTTACATTTCTTCAATCTCTTGACCCTCAATATACTTATTTTTAATGCATGACATAACACTGTATCAAAAAAGGCATAAGTGAAGTTTCCCTTAAACCATAAAAGAGTGGCAAATCATAAATTGCTATACTGTTACCTTTTCCTCATTTCAAGCTGCTGTCTCTCAACAAATTTGAAAAAGGAAAGACAACAATCTAGGAGAGACTGTGTAGCATTTTCCATTTCTTAAAAGTCATGGAAAGCATTGTTTAATCAGTCTTTCAATCCAGTTGCAGAGGGAAAAGTTTATCTACATTTTTTAAATTTTCACCCCACTTGATGAGTAGCAATAGATCCTTCAAACCTACATGACACTTATTTGTGCTTTTAACAAGACACAAATACCTGACTTTCTACCGACCTGATCTGCAATGTCTTAGGTTCTACTATGGTCTATTGTCAATGTCTACTTGTTTTCCATAAGTTTTTATAGTTGTTTTTTAATTGTGGAAATTCATAACATAAAATCTTACCTATTTACAAGTGTACAGTGTTCAGTAGTGTTAAGTATATCCACATTATTGTACAATTAACGTTCAGAGTTTTTTTCATTTTGTAAACCTACAATGTCATACTCTTTAAGCATCAACTCCCCATTTTCCTCTCCCTTCAGCCCCTGAAAACTACCAGTTTAATTTCTGTGTGTATAAATTTGACTATTCCAGATACTTCTTGCAACTGGAATCATATAGCTTTTGTCTTTTTATGACTGGGTTGCTTTTGTTAGCATAATGTCCTCAAGGTTCATCCATGTTATAGTGTGTGCAGAGTTCCCCTTTTAAGGCTGAATGGTATTCCACTATATGTAATATCCCCCCACCTGCTTCTATCCATTCATTCACAATGAATACAGGTTGCTTCCTCTTCTTGGCCATTTTGAAAGGTGCTGCTATGAACATAGGTATGCAAATACTTCTTCAAGTTCTTGTTTCCAGCCTTTTTGAATATATAACTGAAAGTGGAATTGCTAAAGCCATATTCAATTTTTTGATGAACCACCATACTGTTTACAATAATGGCTGGACCATTTTTCATTCCTACCAACAGTACATAAGTGTTATGATTTCACCACATCCACATTATTTTTTGGACCTTTCCTTGTTTGGTTGGTTGGTTTTAGAGTTTTTAAAGCTATTCTAATGGTGTGAGTTTCCCTTTATTGTACTTTTGATTTGCATTTCCGTAATGATTAATGATGTTTAGCATCTTTTCATATACCTCTAGGCCATTTATATACCATCTTTGGAGAAATGTCAATTAAAGTCCTTTTCCCATTTAAAAAAATCATAAAATCCTTCATTAACTTATGGGTCACCTTGGCACATGCACTATGCTAATCTCGAAATCTTTCTAATTTTAGTATATGTGCTACTAAAGTGAGCACCAAGGTTATTGATTGTTAATGAGAATTTTCAGAATGTAACTAATATATCTTCTTTTTCTAAATAATCCCCTGCTGTACACCTATGCCTAACATTTTCACAATAAAAATAGAAGGATATTTGTGTGTATGCATAAAACTTACTATTTACACATGTTCAAGTCATCAGTCCCTTCTATTGCATGATCACTTATAGTATTTGGGTTTTGTTTTGTACCTGTTCTGGTCATTAGGTTTGAGGGATTTTAAGATCTGGCTTAACACTACCCACTTAAACAGGCTGATGGATGTAGAGATGAGGAGGGAGCAGTATTTCACCCTAGCATCTAAAGGGAGCATACATTTTGCTCCTTTTATTTTCATTTTAAGCATAAGTTCTTTATTTTCTCACCATTGATGTAAGAATCATTTATGTTTGCACTGCGACCGATATGAATCATTAAAACAAAACAGAATATTAAATTGCCTTTAATCAATATCGCTTTCTTCTATGAGACATAGTGGAAATGAAAGAATAGTTTATCCTTGATCAGGAGTTTCACAAACATTTAGCCGGGGCCTCATCTCTTCACAGAACTTACTTTGATCCAACTACACAGGTCTCCTTTATGTTTTTAGGACAAATCAAGGTCCTTTACTACTAAAAAACTTTGTCCATAGTGTTCTTATTTATCACTCAAGTCTCAACTCAATGCCCTCTCTTCAGAAAGTCCTTTCCTACACCTAACCCAAGGACACTGCCTTTTGACAGTCACTTTGTATTGTTTTATATGCCTGGTTTTGTCCACAGTATGAATCATGTTCTGAAATTCTCTTATCTATTATTTAGTTTCATGCTTGTTTGTTGTCATCCAACCCTTCCTTTCCCCTCTAGTTTAAACAATATGTTTCCAATGATTGTAAAACCTTATTTCATTTGTTCCTAGTGCCAAAACAGTACCTGGGCTGAAGTTTGTTGACTGCTAGTATGAGTCACATGTTCTCAACTTTGGTGGCAAAGCAAAATTGGATGTTGATGCAGGTGCAAGTATTCACTGAAAAAAAAAATAACTTAATAATCATAAAAGCCAAAGATAACACTGGATTTACTTTTTAAATGTAGACATAATTGAAATAAAAATTAAGGGAAAATTTCAGATTTTTCTCCATTGTATTCTGACTCTCATTCACCTTGAGGCTTCAGTGAGAAGAGGAATATTGGCATTAACAATAATACATATTGGTGGAATACATGGAAGGACATTTTTTACATCATATTTAGGATATAGTAGTGGTTCTCACACTTGAGCGTGCAACCGAATTACCAGGGATTGCTGGAATGCACCCACAGAGTACTGATCCAGTAAGTCTACAGTGTTCCCGAGAATTTGGGCCCAATTCCAGATGATGCTCATGCTGGTGAGGTAGAGGCTGGAGCATGAAGAGCAGACCCTACCGACAGATGTGAATGTTAAGATGTAATGAGTGAGGTAAAGTGATAAAGGTGAGAAATGAAAGCCTGCATGTTGTGTGGTCTATAGAAATGGCAAGTAGAAGACACAGGAGAGGGAAGCATCCATAACTGTAGCATAAATAGGAATTAAAGATCTACTGCATGGAGATCTTTAAAGTAAAGGAGAGGGAAGCATCCATAACTGTAGCATAAATAGGATTAAAGATCTACTGAGTGTAGATAAGGGAAAATAAGAACCATGTAACTATAACATTGTCATCTGAGGAAAGTAGGTGAATGATATCCATTAAATGAAATAAGGTATTTGTGGGGTAGGTTTAAAGGAAAGATAAGTTTTTCTTAAAGCATGAAACAGAGTTTGCTGCAGAAGAGAAAGGTAGGTTTAAAGAGTAAGAAAGTTTACAAAGCAAGATACATTTGCCATAGAAAACAAACGACCTCTATAGCCATGGCAAGCAGACAAAGAGGACAAACTATAAGTTCTTTTTGGAATATGCTATTCGAGGTGTCTATATCAATCCAAGTGCATTGTCTAGGAGGCCTTTGGAAATATGAGTAGAGTTTAGAAGCAAGATCCAGGATCAACTTATATACTTTTAGTAGTAATCAGCATACATTTAGTCATGGAAGAAAGATGTTTTAACCTTAGGGGATGTGTAGAACAAGAAAAGAATAAACTCTCGGGAATTCTAAACTATGGCAGCCTAACTGAATTTCCTGTTTTAACTAGACTGGATGATCATGGAAATTTGGTAGTTGATGTATAGAACTTTTAATTAAATATCACAGTTAGCAATATATTTCCTAGTATTTTAGTGGATAAAATGAGCCACTCACTTTGACAATGTATAGGGTTAATATGTAGTTTTATAAATGCAGAGGATCCCTGCAGTGACCACAGGTCTCTCCCTCAGCTTCATCCCATCAATAGATATGCAGCATGAATAAATGAATGCTTCTGACATAAAACTGGATGAAATGTGTTGAATTAGGAAATATTCATACAAAGATGAAGAGAAAAGTTAAACCTTAACTCTAAACCAACGTAAGTTTTTAAAAAACAATTCTAGCACTTCATTTTCTAAAAATCCCAAAAAAGTAGAAAAGGAGGAAGAAAAAAAGTAAAAAATGGATGGAGCTAACACACCTCATGTGTTAAATACCAAGATGGGGGACATGAATGTAAGTTTGAATAATTTGATCAAGCGTAAATGGTCCAACTCTTACAATTAAAGATCAGATAACTTCAGATTGGATTCAAAAAATTAAAAATTGAACTTTGTGCTGTCTGTGTGACAAATTGAAAACAAAAGAATAGAAAAAGATATGGCATACACGCTAAAGTAATAAGGAAACAGATAAAGTAGACTTCAGAATAAAAATTCTTATCAAAAATAAAGAGGGACATTCTATAGGATAAAAGGGGATATCACCAGAAAAGTATTAAAATCTTAAATGTTTACATTGTTTAATAAGAAAGCTTCAGTATACACACAATGAAAACCATCAGAATCAAAAGAAAAATTTACAGTTAAACTAATGATTTTAATTCCTCTTGTTCAGAACAGTTGAGTTGAACAAACAATTCAGTAAATGGATATATGTGAAGGGCAAAATCAGCTGGGACTAATTGATTTTTGAAAAATCTCTTCTTTAAAAAGCAAAAGCTGCAAGCTTCTGTGTGAAAAGCAGCCAACCCTCCAAGAGGTTCTTCCACATTTATTATTCTTCCAGGCATATCAGAAATTGGTATTAGGGTTTGTGTCATCTTTGGGACCTATGCATCTTTTGTATCTCAGTTTCTACAGAGGTTTATTTTGAGACTTGCCAAAAATAACAGAATTTTTAGATAAGACTTGTGTTCTTTGGCAACTTAATTTCCTCAAAACCTTATTAGATTTCTGATTTATTTACTTCTAGTCAGTTTCATGTACGAGCAACCACACCAAAGAGTCTTTGTGAAACAACTCTGAAGCTAGTCTTTATCTCTCTGCTTCCTGGCTCCTTAAGCAGCTCGCTTAATAACAACTTACGTACCTTGAGGAGAGGACGACTAAACAGGGCATATTCCAGATCTGATCACTAGTGAAATAAATAAGAAATCTCACTTGCCTTTGCTGAAAAAACAGTATTGTAAATTCTATCTCCTGCTATTTAGGGACTAGAAGCTGTCAATTTTTCCAATCCTGCAAGATTCCTTTTATCCTTGCATTTCTGCTTGTAAACTGTCTTTTTCTTCTCTTTCCTTATGTGTTACCAAACAAACCCAATAACAACCCAACCACATTAAGATGATCTTTTTCAACCTTTTATCCCAAACTCAGTAATCATTTGATTTGTCTTCCAAGTTCTTGTGGGCAAGAAATTTTCCAAATATTTTCCATGTGAATGACAAAGAGCAAGAGCTCTTCACCTTGTTTAACTGTTGTCATTTTTCACTCAATCAATTTTCAGGGCCAATGGTGCACCCTGAACATCTTTTTTTCCATTGGCTTTCCAATTTTAATATCAATTTATGTATTAATATCTATGTATTCTAGCCTGGACAATAGAGAGAAACCCTGTCTCAAAAAATAATCTCCCATATTTTGCCAAGTATAATGTGCCCTTGTAACCCAAATTTTCAAGGGAAAAACAATGATGTGCATTATACATGGGTAGTGAATTTCTGTGTCTACGTAAATGTTTTTAATTTTTAAATTTATGTTTATGCACCAAAAGTACAAATCTTTCCTGTTTAATAATATATTCAAATAAATGCTAAATTTCCTTTATAATACAAAAAAGGTACTTTAATAGAAACAAATAAAAATTTGAATTAAACAATTAAGCAAAAGGTTTTTTTCTCCTGAAAGTTGGGGCCAAAACACACAAATACAGTATGTATTAACACTAGTTAATATAAAATTGTAATTAATTATAATATAATTACAAATAATAAGTACTAATTCATTAATGTGTTACTATTATCTTGTGTATTAATTTTAGTAGGATGAGTCTTGATGGCTACTGACACAAACAATATAGAATCTCAGTAACTACAAAGTGTTTGTGTGTGTACGCGCTCAAGTGTGCACATGTTTGTGGATGGGTGTTTACAGCTGGAATCCAACACTAGGCAGCAGAGGAAGGTGAGGGATTCTGTTTTACAGAGAAATTCTGGGACGAGGCTCCGTCTATGCTGTGGTTCCATGACAATCAACATACAGCTTCAATAGCACCCTTGTATGATTTAGCTAGCACACAGGAAAGAGAGTAATGGCATATCTTAGCTGTACACTTCTGCTATTATACTGGTAAGAAATAGTTATTTTACTTTACGTAACAGTTAGTACAGTCTGGGAAACAGAAAGCATGCTAGTTATTTTAACAGAAAAATTGATTCAGGAATTGGTTAAATGGGTACTGAATAACTGAACAGACATAAAGAAAAGCTGGTGATGGAAGAGAAAGGGAAACAGGTAGCAGACAGCACATTTCCTGTGCGTAGGTGACTTGTGCTCTTATCTCTGAAAAGACAGATTTTGGAGTACCTAAAAGAGCTGAAACC